TGTGTTTATCGTGGCTGGGCGGGATTGTGTGGTGGGGGAAGGTCTGGCAGTGTGTGGGGGGGTGTTGTGTTGTGTCTGTAGGTGGGGTGTAGTGGGCGGGTTGTGTATGTTTGTGTTGCCATGTGTTATGTGTGTCTCCAGGGGACTGAGTGTGTTGTGTGTCTCTAGCAAGTGTGTGTGTGTGTGGGGGGGGGGTGTCTCTGGGAGGTGTTGCAGGTGTTGAGGGGTGGTGTGTGGTGTGTCTAGCAAAGCAGGTGTGCATAGGGGTTGTGGTGTGGTGCGGGTGCTGTGTGTCTGTGGGAGGTGGTGGTGTGTGTTGCGCGTGTGCGAATGTTGTGTGGTGTGTGTTGCGGGTGTTGTGTGTCTCTAGGACGTGGTGTGCTAAGCAGGTATTGTGCGTCGGGGTGGTGTTGTGGTGTGTGGGTGTTGTGTGTCTCTAGGAGGGGTGGTGTGGTGGGGGTGTTGTGTGTCTCTCTGCGGTGTTAGGGTCTGGCTGTGCTGTGGGTTGTGTTAGGGTCTCCAGGGTTGTGCGGTGGGGTGGGTTGTGTCTCGGGTGTGGGGGGGAGCTGCTGGTTGTGTGGGTGTGACACTGTGTGTGAGGGGGCGACTGGGGGGGTTGGGGGTGCTCTGCTGTCTGGGACCCACGAGGAGATTGGATCCCACATCCCCCCCCACCTGGGAACCCCCAACACACACCCCGCCCCCAAAACTGTCCTGCTGAGGACAGATCCCCGTTTCCCAGCTGGGCTGACTTGGGAGGGGCAGAGCCCCCCCACCTCTGTGGGTCCGTGGGGGGAGGGGAGGGGAGGGCGTTGCCTGGGCAGTTGCTGCTCCCTGAGAGAGGAGCGAGGACCCAGGAGTCCGACCCGTTACTTCCCCGGGGCCCCGCCCCCGTTCCCCACCCTGCTGCTCCGCAGAGATAACGGGGGGGGAGCTGCACCCAGGGAGACAGTGGGGAGCGGGAGGGGGGCAGCAGGGGGCGCTGGGGAGCAGGACGGGGGGGCTCTAGGGGGCGCTGGGCTGCGGGGAGCAGGGGGGGCAGCAGGGGGCGCTGCTGGGCTGCCCGGAGCGTTGGCCCCCGTTTAACCCTTTGCTCCCCGCAGCTCCATGTACCCGCTATGGCGCGTTGCGCGGCCCGGCTGTGGGGCCCCCTGTGGGCCCTGCCCCTGCTGCTTCTGGCGCCCCGCGGGGCCCTCGGCTTCTTCCCCAACTTCTGGTCCCGGGCCATGGCCCTGGCCTGGGGCTCCGCCACCCACCAGGACCTGACGGAGGACGCGCTGCTCAACGCCACCCTGGAGCTCTTCCGGGACCTGCCGCCCCCCCGCGGCCGGCGCCTCGCCTGGGAGCAGTTCCAGGTGAGCCTGGGCCGGGGACAGCCGGCGCCCCGTAGAGGGGACAGGCCCCTGCCTCACTCCCCGCCCCCGAGCCAGCCAGTCCCTGCCCTGGGGCCAGATCAGAGCTGGCGCCCCCTAGAGGGGACAGGCCCCTGCCCCATTCCCCGCCCCCTGAGCCAGCCAGTCTCTGCCCTGGGGCCGGATGAGAGCCAGCGCCCCCCAGAGGGGACAGGGCCCTGCCCCACTCCCCGCCCCCCTGAGCCAGCCAGTCCCCGCCCTGGGGCCGGATCGGAGCCGGCGCCCCATAGAGGGGACAGGCCCCTGCCCCAGTCCCCCCGTCCGCCCCCCGAGCCAGCCAGCGCCCCCCAGGGAAGGGCCCGGGGTCTCACGGCCGCTCTCTCCCCAGGCCCGGCCCCTGCTGGCGGACGAGGTGTTCGCGGCGTATTACGGCCCCGGGGCGTCGGCCCGGCGGTTCCGCGCGGCGCTGGTGGAGGTGGGCAACGCCAACGCGGCCCTGGACTTCCTGCCGGCGGCGCGGGACGACCCGGTGCTGCACTTCGACGGCGAGCTGCTGCGGCCGGCCGGCGCCTCCCTCCTGCGCGCCCGGCGCGAGGTGCTGCAGGCCCTGGGCGCGGAGCTGTACCCCCTCGCCCGCCAGCGCCTCGGCCGGCTGCTCCACTCCCTGCAGGTCCGCCCCGGACGCCGGGGTCCCTCCGCCCCCTTGTCCGGCCCCGTCTGTCTGCCTGGCACTGCTCAGCTCCAGCCCTCTGGTTACCCAGCGTCCGTCCGTCTGTCCGCCTGTCTCTTCCCCCTTCCATCCACCTGTCCGTGCTGTCTGTCCATCCATCCATCCATCTCTTCCCGCTTCCATCCACCTGTCTGTGCTGTCTGTCCATCCATCCACCCACCTCTGCCCCCATCCATCCATCCGTCCATCTCTGCTCCCGTCTGTCGGTACATCCATCTTTGCCCCCATCCGTCCATCTCTGGCCCATCCATGTGTCCATCCATCTCTGCCCTCGTCTATCCATCTGCCCATGCTACCCATCTATCTCAACTCTGTCCATCCATCCATCTCCTCCCATCTCTCTCCCGGCTGTTGCCCCCTTCCCTCTGGCCCAGCGTGGGGCAGGGGCAGGCCGCGGCGCGGGGGTGGGGTGGGGTGGGGTGCTCTCACGCTCCACGGCCCACGGGGTGACCCAGAAGGCCAGGAGGGGGTGGCTGGGGTCCGGGTCTCGAGGGGCCTATTGGGCCAATTGCTCATGGTCTGTCCATTTATTTCTCTCTCTCCCGTCTTCCCCCCACCCGCCCCTCCCGGCAGGATTTCTACAGCCACAGTAACTGGGTCGAACTGGGCCACCGCGGGATCCACCCGGACCTGCTCCAACCCGGCCGTGAACTGGGCTCCATCGCCGGAGGTACCAGCCCCACCCCGGCCGTCTGCCCAGCCCGAGATCGGGTCCCGTCCTGCCGGGCGCTGCCCAGACCCCCCGACCGAGATCGGGGCCCCATCACACCGGGTGCTGCCCAGACCCCCCCCCCACCGACCGAGATTGGGGCCCCGTCGCGCCGGGCGCTGCCCAGACCCCCCCCTCCCCACTGTCTTGCAGTTGTAACACAGATCATTTCTCCTCCTTTCTCCTGGGG